ATGGTGGTGATGGTGATGGTGGTGATGGTGACGGTGGTGGTGGTGAGGTCGTCTGACATTATTTAATGCTATGTGCCCAGCAATGTTTCAAGCTCTTTAGATGGATTCTCTTCTTTAACTTTCATAATAACCCAACAAAACATAGATTCCTTATTGCTTCCATTTGACTGAGAAGGAAACTGAAGCTCAGGGAGGTAAGTGATTCACTCAGCATCACAGTGCCGGCAGAGGATGCGCCCAGGATTCACCCCCCAGAGTCTGACTCAAGCGGTGCACTCTAACCACTGCACCACCCTGCCTCCTCCACTGCTGTCTCTGAGTTCCTCCGGAACAGAGCCTCCATCTATATCCTCAGCTCCAAGTCCAGGGCCTGCACATGGTAGGTGCTCAGGGAAGGTCTGTTAGGAATGGCTTCTGCGCAATGATTTGTACCAAGGTAAAAACCCACCTGTGCGTTGATGCGTCACCTTTACGGGCAATAAGCATACAAATCGATTTGAAATGCTCCTGGATAAACGAATAAATTCATGCAATTGTTAGCCAACCCAGGTCAATTGGCCGGCTCTTCCTGGAAGAATCATTTCTGGGACATCCTCATTGTCCATTTTCCAACCAGTCAGGCCTCCCAGAATCTGCTGCCCCAGCTCAGCCCAGGCCCCATGGACTGATGGGCCCCAGCTGCTCCCTGGGTTAAACCCATCAGTTGGTGAGAACCCCGTGGTGAGAAAGGGCCTCGGCCGCCCCGGGTCTTACAAGGCGGAAGGCCCGTGGGGCAGGGACTGGGGGAGGGGCAGTGGCAGCTTTGATCTGCTGCCAAAAGAGAGGGGGAGGAACACGCTTTTCTTTAGACAAGCTGTTCGCTTACCAGCTGACTTTGGTAAAAGAAAAAAATATTCCCAGTGCCATCTGTTCCCAGAGCAGGGCTGGTGTGGGGCCTGGGGCTTCCTGCAGCTCAGGCGGCCCGTCTCAGCTTCAGAATCTGAGACAGCTGCCCCCTGGATTATTTTGGGAAGCGGCTCAATTTGGAGGCACCCCGGCCTTCGAGGCATTTCCCGTCACTCCAAAGCTGTTTGCACACCCAGCCCGAGGCTGCCAGCTCCGTCTCAGGCCCTGGATGTCTTCCCGCTCAGCCCACTGTCATTATCCTGCTTCCAACTTCTGCTGCAACTTCTGCTGGAGTCAGATTTCTTGGGATGGAGGAGAGAGGGACAAGGAGGGCGAGGGCCACGGGCAGTGAGCTGAGCGAGGGAGGGGCTCCCTGTCCCCTCTCTGCTCAGGCTTCTCTGTGGGAGCCACTCCCTCCACCCACCCCCAAGTACGGGACCCCCCAGGCATCCACCCCAGGGCTAATCCCTCCTCCATTCTCTCCTCAAGGATGTCCCCACTCCTTTCGTGAATGCTAAGCTCTGGGGGTGGGTGGGACGTGGGCATCTCGGGCAGGGACGACAGCATCAGAAAGGCCTGGAAAGAGCACAGGGCTTTCCCTTGGGAAAGATTGGGGTGCAGCAGGAGCCAGCACGTGGTCAGCAAGAAGACCACAGAGCCACGGGGTCAGGAGGGCCCAGAGCATCAGATGCCACCTGGAGGCCGGGCACCAGCGGAGGTTTAGGATCAGGTTCCCAGGACGGAAAAATTCCATTTGCTGGTGCAGAATTGGGGTCAGATGGGAAGGAGATGAGGAGCCCAGCTGAGGAGTTACTATATCCAGCCCCGACAGCTGGCCAGGGCCTGGACTCTGAGGGGCCAAGCGGGGGAGAGGAGGGCGTGAGTTTGAGAGAGAGCAGAGGGCAGAAATGACAGGACTCGGTGCCCAGCGCGGAGAATGGGGAGGGTTTAGAGTGAGCCACAGGTCTCAGGCCTGGGGGCCAGTAGGCTGGGAGGGGCCGACCAAAGAGACGGGGAGTCAGGAGGTCGGGCAGGGGAAGGGGCAGGTTCTGACTTGGATGTGGTGAGTCTGGGGTGGGCACCCGAAGGGAGCTGTGCCTGGGCAGTTAGAAATCTGCGTCTGGGCAGGGAAGAAAGTGGTGGTTGCCAGGGGCTGGTGGGAGGGGGCACTGGACAGCTGTTGTCTAACGGTTACAGAGTTTCAGTTTGGGAAGATACAAGAGTTCTGGAGATGGATGGTGGGGATGGTTGCACGACAAAATGAATGTACTTAAATCCACTGAACTGTACCCTTTAAAACGGCTAAAATGGTAAATTTTGTTATGTGTATTTTACCACAATAAAAAATTTTAATGGGCTAAATTCTCCAATTAAAAGGCAGAGGTATTCAGATCAGATAAAAAGACACAACTATTTGCTTCTATAAGAAACTCTCTTTAAATATAAAAACACAGATAGTTGAAAAGGAAAAGGAGAGAAAAGATACCTTGCTAACACTAAAAGAAACCTTGAGCGGCTGTATTAATATCAGACAAAGCAGATTTCAGAGCAGGAGATTTTATGAAAGAGGACGTCGAAAGGCCGTGATGATCGCGATGGGCACTCACTGCAGGCCAGCCCCAGGTCAGCTCTCCGGGACCAGACGCTCCTCTCTGTCTGCTCCCCTGCCCGCCCCGCTCCTGTTCCCCTGCCAGCCCCACAGCCCAGGCGCGTCCTGCCTGCACCTGAGCCCGGCTTCTGTCACCTGCTCAGGTACCTCCCCGCATTACGATGCTCCCTCTCAGGCCTCATCTTCTCTCTTCCGGAGCCTTCCTGTGGGCATTTGTGCAGCCTCAGGCCTCCGCGCTAGTAAGCAGTCATGTCCCCTGGGCCCCGGGGTCTTTGCTCCCTTACACGGGCCTCACCCATTGCAGCTCAGCCGTCCTCACCCTCCTTCAGTTTTACAGCAACTTTTTAAAAATTTTTTAACTTTTTGCAGCTTTATTGAGGAATAATTTACGAAAGGTAAATGTTCCCAATTTTAAGTGCGTGATTTGACAAGTTTTGACAAATGTAACCATCATCAAGAACATTCTCATCACCCCCCAAAATTCCCTCGTGCCCCTTTGCTGTCAGTCCCTTCTCCAGCCCCCTGGCCCTGGAAACCACTGATCTGCCTCCTATCGCTGTGGTTTTGCCTTTTCTAGAATTTCTAATAAACTGTGTCATAGAGTGTGTGGGCTTTGTGTGGTTTCTTTCACTCAGCCCGATGCTATGGACCATCTGCACAGTGGTTGCATCAACACCCTCTCCCTCTTATTGCTGAACAGGACCCCGTTGTGTGGACACACTCTCATCTGTGCATCTGCCAGCAATGGACGTCTGGGCTCTTCCCAGTGTCGGGTTTTTATGAATGGTAGCCCTACTCATGTATAAGTCTCTGTGTGGACATATGTTTTCGTTTTCCTTGGGTAAATGCTCAGCAGTGAAATGGCGGGGTCATGTGGTGAGTGTATATTTTACTCTATAAGAAACTGCTAAGCTGTGCTCCAGAGTCAACGTACCATTTTGCATCCCCACCAGCAATGTGTGAGAATTCCCGTTGCTCCACATCCTCGCCAACTCTTGCTATTGTCAGTCTGTTCAATTTAGCCACTCTAGGGGGTATACAGTGATACGTCTTTGTGGCTTTGATTATGTTTCCCTGATGAATAATGGTATTGAGATTCTGTCTTAGTCTGCTCTGGCTGCTATAATAATACCATGGACTGGGGGACTTAAACAACAGACATTTATTTCTCACAGTTCTGGAGGCTGGAATCTAAGACCAAGGTACCGGCAGATTCAGTTCCCAGTAGGGGTGCACTTCCCAGCTTGCAGACGGCCAGCTCCTCGCCGTGTCCTCACGCGGCAGAGAGAGAGCTCTGGTCTCTCTTCTTCTTCTTATAAGGACACTGATCCCATCATGGGAGTCCCCCCTTGTGACCTCATCCACACCTAATTGCCTGTGAATCAGGGGTAGCGGGGGCAGGTGGATGCAGGCAGGGTGGAGGGAAGACCACTGGAGACCTTCTCATACTCAGACACCGGCTCCACTGCCTCCTGACGTCACTCCCCACAGGACGGCCCCCCAGCTCCCCCAGCTGATCTGGAAAGACGGCCTGGCCCACGCCGGCCCCTGCCCAAAGCCCCTCCCCAAATCCAAGGCTGTCAAACTGTGACGAGCCCAGATCTAGTGGGCTCTGTCCTCCACGGGGGCTTGGAGGGCAGAGGACGAGCCAGCGCCAGCCCGGGGGTGCCACCTCTGCCCTCCCCTGCAGGCCGTCGCCCCCGCCCACGGTGCCTCCTCCTGGCTGGTCCCCATCAGACGTCAGCTCCCGGAACCCCCCGTATTCAATCCCCCTACAGGGGCTTTTTCTTGGAGAAATGTATGCAGCAAGTGCCAAGTCTCCCCAGAGACATTGACAGTAGCTCCTTGGGGACAGACTGGGGGACGCTGTGACCCACTAACCAACCACAAATGTTTCTTCTCCATGACTTTGGGGCAAAGCTCACCATCGCAGCCATAGGGGTGGGCCTGGCCCACGGTAAGTAACTGAGTTAACCTCCCCGAGCAGCACGGGGGCTTGGTTTAGGAACCATGTGGGGCTCCTGCCTCTGTATAGTGATCTGGGGCCTGTCACTCAAGTGTGAGGCCGGTGGGCAGCAGGAGAGGCGTGTGGGGAGGCAGGGCCTCTAGACATCAGCCTGGACACCTGAGAGCCCCTGCTGCTCCCAGAGCCGGACCCTACAGCCTGAGTGAAGGTCAGCATCGTGGGGCTCTCGGCTGCCCCCGGGGGTGCCCTCGGAGAAGAGACGCTGAGAGCCCCCCCAGGAGGGAGGCTGCCCGGGGAGTTAGCTCATATTTATGCATATTTCAGGGCCCTTCCCAGGACACTGGCAGGCTCCCAAAATCCCTCCAGAAATACATTGGTTAAAATAAACTGAGTGAGGCCAGAGGTTGGCTTAAAAAGGGTCCACGCCTAGTGGGTTCAAGATATTCAGACAGATGGAAACAGGAGACAGGGGCAGGTGGGCAGGCGTGCCACAGACACACAGGAAAGCCAAGGCGCCCCGGGGGCTGCTGGACCGTGGTGGACATCCCTCTGCGGCCCTCGGGCCCTCCAGCTGGACCCGCAGGCAGGCTCTGAGAAGCTGCTTTTGGGGCAGTGACGGTTAATTCGGGGATCCACGGGGCATCCCGTCCGTGCCTGCTTCCAGCTTGTGTTTGCGAAACAGGCTGTAGAGGACCCGCAGCGTGCTCTTGGCATCCTTCTTCACAATGTCTGCAGGCCAGAGGTGAGCGGGCCAGCTGGTCAGGCTGGCAGGGGAGTCACCAACCATCTCGGTTTGCCGGGGACAGAGGGACTTCCTGGGACATGGGGCTTCATTGCTAAACCCAGGAGAGTCCCGGCAAACCAGGACAGTCAGTCACACTAGGCCTGAGTCCCAGGACCCATCACGGGCCCTGGCCCTCCTCCTTCTGTCCAGTTCTCCCCTGCACCCCTCCTGGGGTGCCCCCAACACAGCAACTGCTCAAGGTCTCTCCTCTCTGGACAGCCCGTCCCCAGGGACCTCAGTCCCCTATGTTCTCTCCTGGAACCCCTACTCCACTGGGGTGGGTGGAGGCCGTGGACACAGTGCCCCTCCTGGGAAGCCTTGGCAAACGCTCATTACCCACCCACGCCAGGCAAGAGGACCACGCCAACACGTGCTGTCCGCCGCCCCCCCGCCCTGCGCCCTGCTCTGCGGGTCTCCCCCGAGGCTGGCTGCCCGGAGAACGGGGCCACGGTGCCCACGCGTGCCGAGCGCTCACCTTCGGGGCTGACGGGGTAGTTGAGCAGGCCTTCGTCCTTCAGCAGCTCCAGGGCCAGGGTCACGTTGTGCAGCTGCAATGACAAGACCCCGTCAGACGTCACGAAACGAGGCAGCCCCCACCCGGTGGCAGGCCCACCCCTCGCCCATGATGTCCATCATGCGTCAAGGGGGCCACCTGTAGTGGGAAAGGCAGTTATAGAGAGGGGCACCCAGCCCGGCGGGCAGAGAAGGCTTCCTGGTAGAGGTGACACCCGGAGGTGAGTCCGGCCAGGTGAGGAGACCTAGGCAGGGAAAGGAGTATGGGCTCATCCCGATCTTTTCTGATGCAGCCCCGGGCCCTGTGGGCAACAGAGAACCCCTCAGAAACAGCTGAGTTCCATGGGCAAAGCATAGAAGAGGAAACCGAGGCTCAGAGTGGCCAAGCGGCTAAACTGAGCTCACGTGACAGAAAGTGCCGGAACCAGGTCTGTCTCCCTCCGATGCCCATGCTCAGCAGGCTGGAGACCGGAGGAGCCGCCCCCGCCCAGGAGTCTGCCCTTTCCACACCCCTCCGCATGGGCAGACGCCTCAGACACTGCCTCCAGCACAGTAGACACTGCCAGGCCGGAGTAGGGCTCACCCGGTTCAGATCCCGGCACGGTCACTGGGTCACCTCGAGCAAGTCCCTTGGCGCCCAGAGCCTCCACTTGCTCATCTGCAAAGTGGGGTCACCACCGTTTCCCCTGTGCCTTGATATGGGATACTGGGTGGGGAGCCCCGGGGGGCCCTGTCTGCCATTGGCTCAGGGCAGACCCTCTGTGAGTGGGGTCCTCCCTTTTCAAGGCTGGTTTCTCCCTCAGGCCTCAGATATAACCCACAAGACCCCCGCCCTTCTCCTGGGGCAGCAGCCTGAGGTATGCAAAGAGAGGTGTGGGGTGAAGGAGGACCGGCGAGGTCTGAAGCCGGCTGACCCCCTGATTCTCTGTGACCGCGAGCAGGCCCTTCCTTCAACAGTCTCAGCCCCCCATAGGGCCACTGTGAGGGCAGGACGTCCAGGCCATTCCCTCCCCATCTGCCAGCCATCCCACAGCTCGCTTCCAACAGGCCAGGCAGTTCCAATGGCAAATTACCCAGGGGCCTGGAGGCCCCGTTGGCAGAGCCTCAGATGAGCAAGGCCCGTCTGGGGAAGCCAGCCCTGCCCAGGACGCCTCTGGTCACCTCCTGGGGGTCTGGGCAGGAGGGTTCTTGAGATCTGGGTTGGGTGTCTGTGCACCAACCCCCACCAGGTCACAGTCGCAGTTCAGACAAGTCACACATCCTCAGTTCCCTCATCTGTACAACGGGAACAGCATGTCTTCCAACCTGCCTCTCCAAGGCAGCCGTGTGGGTCAGTGGTGATGATGGGCACAGAATTGAAGCCACAAAGCAAGATTTGACGGTGGATTGATGAAGGCACAGTGGGAGCCTGGCCTCAGCCAGGGCCTCCCTGAAAATTCCTTGTGTCTGGGCTCCTGCAGGGACCAGGAGACAGGACATGTGTAGGGGGCTCAAAGCCCCCTGAGAAAGAACTCTCCCTGAGGGAGAGAGGGGTGTGGGTCACAGTCCTGGTCCAGGGACACCGGGCAGGGTCAGGGGAGTATCTTCCACCCCCCCATCCCCACCCCAAGGACTCCTGCTGTGTCCTGGGGCAGGGGCTGGAGTCCTCGCTGGTGGCTGACTCACGGTGGGCTGTGCGGGGAGCACAGGCGGCCCCTCCTCGGGATCCAGAAGGCAGAGTGAGCAGGGTCCTTCTCCACGGGGGAGAGTTCTTGTTAGAGCATCAAACGGACAGAGCAGCTGAGCTGGGGGTAGGACCAGGATGCAAGAGAGAGTGGGGGAGAGGCTGGGTCACCGGCCCAGCAGGGCTGTCCCTCTACAGTCGGTCAAGAAGAAGACACAAAGGCTGTCACAGGTGCCAAAGCCCCCAGCACGTGGGACACACCTCTGGGAATGTCCAGACCAAGAGGGAAGGAAATCCTAGAGCGAGCAGATCAGAGCTGCACCGCCCGTTCCTGTCACTGTGTCCCCAGGTCTTCTCCCCAGACTGAAATATCCTGGAAAACGAGGGCTGCAATTGTTGCTATTGTTCACCTTCTCATCATGACTGCTATTCACAGGATGCTCTGTGCACCTCGCAGCCCCGCCTTTAATGTACTCTGTAAGCCGGCATCTCCAAGAGCACGATCCAGGGTGTAGAAGGACAAGGCTGCCTGTGACCAAAAGGTTTTGGGAAATGTTGGCTCGAAGAAAATAATATGAAAATCCCCCGCTGCAGGACTTCTCAGAGCCTTGAATATGTTACAGTGTATCACCAACCCTTAAGACTATGCATGTTTTCCCAAGTTATTTGGCCATAGAATCCATTCGTCACAGAGCACCTCATGGGACCAGTGTTTTGGAAACACTTCGTTCATTCATTTATTTAAAAAATATTTATTGAGCATTTGCTCTGCATTGGCCATGCAACGGGGGAAAAACAGACCCACTCTGCGCTCATGGAGTTTGTGCTCTGAGAATCGCTGCTATCGACACTATAAATGTGATCACACTTGCTTCGATCTGTCACACTGCTCCTCACCGATGCTCAGTCTGACCCAGGAGGAGCTGCCCCAGCCTCCATCCAGAACCATCTCACCATGCTCTACCCAAAGAATCATTTTTCTTCCGTACCCGGTTTGAGATGACGAAGGAAAAACCACCACATGCCGTGGAGCCGAGGGAAGGTTACGACCCAGGAGGATGCATTCAAGTCCTCCCGGGGAGAAATAATTGAACGTGGGAGGCAGCCAAGGATTCCTGGCTCAGAGCTTGATTTCCGCAGAGCAGACGATCGCGTCTCTCCCTCCGTCCCTAACTTCTCTTCCCACAATGAATGACAGTCTCACGTAAACACTGTTGGCAAAGAAGCTCTGATAATGAGAAATCCAATTTCGAGAGGCCGCTCTGCCGAGATAACAATTCTGTGGCGTCCCCCCCTTCGGAAGCGGCCGTGGCTCCCGCCTCTTCAGCTAATGGCCTCTCCGGCGTTTCTATTACACGTTCCTGCGGCTGAGGTTTCCCACAATATACCATAAAAATCCGTCCTCGGGGTCTGAGCTAAGAGGCTGCTTCTTTCCCCCACGTATAATCGGGCTTATCTTCAGAAGTAGGTTCTGAAATCAGTGGATCCGGCGAGCCGACTGCACACGGGGCGAGAAGTCGGCATTTGGAAGCGTGCAAGACACTGAGCGCCGGCCTTGAAGCCCCATGAAGCCCCAGTAGCCGAGTAACAGAGGGGGGGCCCTCCGGCTGCTCGGGGTCTGGGCTTGCAGCCCCGTGTCCCCAGGGGCTCCTAGGCCTGCACGTGTCCTGCCGGGCTCCCTCCTCTGCCTTCTCTCGTTGCTCACGCTTCAGGGTCCTGCCTTCTGGACACGTGGTCTCAGCCTTGGCTCTGACCTCCTGAGCCCTCAGCTGTCCCAGAAGCTTCGGGCAAGCCTCCTTCTTGGCTGTGGAGAGACTTGTACCCCTCTGCCTCCCGCAGGGTTCACCCTGGCTCCCCAGGAAGGAATCGGGGGGGCAGCTCTGGCTTTGGAGACACACAAGCCTAGACGCCAGTCTGACCTCCACCCTAACTGGCTGTGAGGTCTTGACCAAACTGCTGTCCCTCTCTGAACTCAGTCTCCTCACATGGGAATGGGGATGGGCAGAGTTCCTAACTCAGAGGCGCGACACGAGGAGGTATTAGCAAGTGCACCCACAGTGTCTGGGGGAGATCGTCCCACTGGCCCAATTCTGCACCCACACACTTTGCAGGGCTCTCCCACATCCCCACCCAGGCGGCAGGGAAGGGAGGAAGGCAGGACCTTCCCTGGGAGGCAGGGAAGGTGGAAGCGACAGCATGCCAGCTCCAAGCCTAGGCCCCGCGCATCCGGCTTGGTCCCTTGTGTCTCTGCCGTTGCCATGAGACAACCAGGCTGGGCTCACTGCTGGCCCAGGAGAAGGATGAGAGACACACGATGCAGGGCTGAACCACCCCAGCTGAACCCCGCCAAGATGGCCTGATCCCCAGCCAATCCCAGATGGGTGACGGAGCCCAGCAGAGCCTAGATCAGCCAGCACAGCCGACCTGCAGATCCTTGAGATTAAATGATTGTGGTTTAAGCCACCACTTGCTCAGGTGGTTGGTTAGGCAGCATTTCCGTGTAAAGCTGACTGATGCAGCGCCCAGTGAACGGTAACAGCCCAGCAAGTGTCGATCGTTGATCCCACCACCACGAGAACCACACACACTGTGCCCCTCCACCTGTTTGCTCCCCACCCAACCTCCCAGCTCTTGGGAATCTGAGCCCTGAATCAATCCTCAACTCAAGAGCACCCCCGCCTCCTGGGAAGGCGGAGACCACGCCCACTGAAGATTGCATCTCCATGGTGCAGAGGGATGAACAGCAGGCTGGGGATCAGAAGGCTGGTCCTGGTGTCAGACCTGCCACTGAGCAGCTGAGTGGTCCTGGGAAAGCCCCACAGCCTTTTGGGGCCTCGGTTTTCCCCTCTGTAAAATGGAGATGTGACCCCTTCCCTGCCCCCTCACAGAGGCGTGGAGTGAGGATAAGATGGGGTCAAGGGCCGGGGTGGGGGCTAGATGTGGGTAGTGACTCCCAGAGAATGTGGGAGGAGCCATGGTTCAGGGGCCTATAAAATGCCAAGGAACACCAAGGAGGTGAGAAGGGGGTCAGAGCCGACCGCAGGGCCAAGAGAGTAGGGACAAAGCAGGAGGCAGGCTAGAGAGAAGGGCCTGGGCAGAGACCTGGAGATTCATGAGGATGAGCCCTGTAGAGGCTGCAGGTGGGGCCGTGTGGATGCGCCTGGAGTCAGCGGGATGGGAGAAGGGATGAGGCTGGGGCGGCACGTGGGGCCAGACCACTCGGGGCATGGAGTGCCAGAGAAAAGCTGGGAGGCCAGGCTGGCAGCTAGAAGCAGGGGACAGATGGGGCTGTGGGCATGTGGGGGAGGAGTTGAGGGGAGGGGCCTGGAGGAAGGGGGACCCAGCCTGGAACTGGGCCAGGATCAAGGGTGTAGAACTTCACCCCAAGAGGCCTGATCCAGCCCCAGGGCCACAGGCTGTCACCCTTCCCAGGACACACGGTATGTCAGAGGGCACATAAGCCTTTCCTTCTCCCAGAAATGGCCCCAAAGGCTGGCCCTGGGAACGGGCTCCCAGCCCTGCCCGTGTGCCTCCTCTTCAGAAAAAGCCACTGCTGCAGAGAGAAAACGTGGCTGCCCTCCTGCCTGGGCTGACGCCGAGCAGCCGCGGGGACCCTGCTGTGGACAGAGATAAGCTGGCCACTTGGGGTCTAGGCAGCGCTCCAGCCTGTCCTCTGGCCACCACGCCACCTCCTGGAGGGCTGATGCTCACGAAGACGGCCGGCCGGTCCTGGGCTGGGCAGGGCGACCAGGGACCACATGCCCCTCGGTGCTTCCCCCTGATGAGTCTCTAAAGTCCTTCCTATCATCTGAGGGGCCAGGGGGGCGGGCAGGGCAGGAGCTGTCGGCCCATTTTACAGACAAGAAGCCTGTGGTGCCGGCAGCAAGCTGGTGGTGGAGCAGGGACCAGAATCGAGGTCTCTCGCCTGGCAGGGACGCTCGTTCCTCTGCCGCGTCTGCCCTGATGCAGAGCCAGATGACCAGGGTGAGGGGGCCTCGGTTTCCTCGTCTGGAGAGCAGTAAGAATCCCTCCCCCCACTGGCAGGTATCCCTCGTGCCAAGGGCATCCCCAGCGGGGAACAGCCTATGCAGAAGGTGGGAGAGCGCGAGGAGCTCCAGGAACTGCAGTGGCTCTGGGTGACAGGGGCCTGAGCGGGTGGGGGGCTGAAGAGCAGAGGAGGGAAGCGGAGCCCCCCCGCCCCGGGGTGGGGCACTGAAGGCTGTACGCAGGAGGCAGTGAGACCTGCGTTTTCGGAGGCTCCCCTGTCACTTCTGCCAGCATCATCATCCTCTCCATCTCCCTTCCCCTCCCCCGGTCAGGCCACAGACCCTCCTGTCTGGACTAATGCAGCCAAATCCCAACCAGCCTGCCAGCCCCCAGGGTCCACGTGGGGACTCCCGACTCCGAGGACAGACCCCTGCCACACCCTGGCCAGCCCTGCAGCCGAGTGAACGACAGACGCAGCCCTGAGACATTCCTGCTTTTGTCCACATCTGAACCTTTGCTGACGCTGTTTCCCCTGCTTGGGAACAGTTTGTTAACTCGGCAAACCAAACCCTAATCAACTTCACGTGTCACCTGTTGTACAGTCTTAAATGAGCCTTCATGAGTCCTTCAGATGGTACTAACCACTCTTTCTTCCAGGTCCCCCACTGACCCACCATGAACCAACACACTTCATCATGACCCTGGAAGACCGTACATCGTTGAGAGTATGGTGGCCAAGACTGGGAGGCCCTCAGATGCAGGCGCTGTGTTGGGTTGTCTTTATGGCCCACACAGCACAGGGCCGGACACCAAAGAGGACCTCAGGAAGTGAGGGGTCAGGTGCATAGGTGGGTGGGTGGGTGGATGGTTGGATGGATGGATAGATGGATGGTTGGATGGATGGATGGATGACTGATGGCTGGATGAACAGATGGAGGGAGGGATGGATGATGGTTGGATAGACGGATGATTGATGGATGGATGGAGAGATGGATGGATGGATGGACAGATGGATGGATGATTGATGGAAGGATGGACAGATGGATGGATGGGTGGATGATGGTTGGATAGATGGATGATCGATGGATGGATGGGCAGATGAGTGGGTAGATGGATGGGCAGGCAGGGGCATGGGTGGATGACTTGGGTGGACGGGTGAATGGGCAAGTGAATGGATAGGCGTGAGGGTAGATGGGTGAATGAATGGATGGATGGGCAGACATACGACAAACAAACTTCCCCTCCATCCTTCACTTCGCTTGGAAGTAAATAAATAAAGACTGGTTGTGCCAGTTCCGCAGATCTGTCCACTCAGAGGTAGACCACCAAGGAAAATCTTTGGAAAACTTACCATTTCCGCAGGAGAGTTGGGAGTGAGGTAGAATTCCTTCAAGTGCAGGAAGAAGCCTCCCAGTTGTCCAATCAGCAGGAGTAAGATGACTCCATCTGCAAACTACAAAGGAGGGAGCTGGAGGCGGGCAGCCCGGGGGAGCTGCTCTGCCTTCACAGGCTGTGTGGCCCTACGGAAGTCACACAACCTCTCTGGGGCTCAGCCTCATTTTTGAGAAATGGGGACGACCTCCCCGACCTCACAGCATTGTTGAAAACATCGGCAGCAGCAGACACAAAGCAGTTATTGGCTGCCTGGCCCACAGTGCGTGCTCAATAAAATGAGCTATTTTCACATTTTCTGTGAAATAGCCTCATATCGCTTTTTAAACCACACACTGTTCCATGAGCTACAGAAGCACAGGAGAAAACAGAGTTAAGTGCAGAATTATTCCGTAAGGAAAAAGCAGAGAACGGCACAGCGGCTCATTTCACTGCTGCCACATTAATATTTCTGTCTGTTCTGTCTGTGTGTGCAGAGATAAAGCCCTCATCCCGCCACCAGCGTATCGTATGCTAATATAATCCTTTTGAATCTCTTCGAAGATACAAAACCCAAGGTGCGATATCGGAGGAAAAACCACCACTCCAAGTCCTCAATGGAATTTCCTCATATTAGGTCTGTTCCGATGTTATTAGTTTGGCCTGAATTCTTTTCTGCTGATATTCCCTGGTAATACCACCAAAATACCAGGGACCTCGATAGCTCCTTTTACCCAACAGTCTGTAAATACCATCCGCGCACACGCTGATATTCTCCGAATGCCATTGTTTTACCATGGCGCAAGTGAAGATGAAACAGGTCGAATGTAAGCCTAAGAAATCACCCTGTTTATACCCACATAAAATATAATAAAACTGCAAATCTATCATTTATTGCGTGTCCACAGTGTGCCAGGTAATATACTAAACACTGATGTTCATCTTCTCATTTATTACAATTCTGTGAGGTTGGTATCCTTGTGCAGAAGAGGAGTCTGAGGTTCAGAGAAGTCCAGGTCCAACATCACACGGCTAATGTGGAGGAGGTGTCCTCGGAGCCCAGGGGCAACATGTGCCCATCTGGCTTCAGAGCCTGGTGTCTCCATCCTGCCATGGCACCACACCATATCATGCATAAACGTCTCACGTGTCCACCACGTGAGGTGCTCATGAGTACAAACTGTAGCCTCAGCAGCCTGGGTTCAAATCGCAGGTCCACCACTTAATCACTGTGTGACCTTGGACAAGCTAATTAACCTCTCTGTGCCTTAGAGTCCTCATCTGTGAAATGGGGTAGTATCAGTGCCCCCCTCAGGGGGATGTTGGCAGGATTCAGTGAGTTAGTGCATGCAAAGCCCTTTGCTCAGGGCCTGGCCCATAGTGAGGGCTACATGGGTTTTAGTTCCAGATACAGGAGTGGATCAACCCCATTCCCCGCTGGCTAATGCAGAGTGTGTCTGAGCAGTCAGCAGCTCCAGCCAAGATTGTCAGAAGCCATTCTGTCCCTCTGGGACCAGCTCTGCCCTCTCCATCCCCCCATGCTGTACAGAACCCAGGTGGCCCGACACCCACAGCACCACGTCCAGCAGGCCCCTCGCCACCCTGAAGCCCCCGGGCTGACGATTGGCCTCTCGGCTTCTCCACTCCCCGCTGTGTTGAGGGAACACCACGGGGACACAGCGCCACAGCGGAAGGCCGTGGCCCACTGCAGAGTGCTGGCACGGAAGGCTCTGTTCCTGCCCAGGGACCACTCGGGGCAGGTCAGCCACGGGGGCTGACTCCCCGGGGAGCCCACAGACGCGGGGCTGTCGGCACCTGCGGCAGTGCCTGGTACACGGCACGAACCTAATAAATATGGGGAGTGAACAGTTACCCTGGGACAGCTCACGTGCTGAGTCATGGCATCTGATAGTCTGAGAGTAATTTTGAAAAAAGAGCTGAAAAGAGGTTCTTTTACAACAGTAAAAGGTAATAACAGCAACATAGACGAGTCCCTTTGTAAAGTGCTCCCACGGTCCCCACCTCACGGGATCTCCACAGTGTCCCTGGGTGGCGATGCTGCCGCCAGCAACACCCCCCGTTGGAGAGGTGGACCCCACAGCTCTGAGAAATGACACATCCCAGGCCACACGGATGTGCCCTGTGTACCCTCTTCCCTGTCCGCACCCCACGGCCTTTCCCCGCAGCTGAGTCCCTACCTGGGTGTCCAGATTCTGCACGGACAGGCCCAGGCGGTCCAGCTTCTGGTTGACGAAGATCACGATGGCCTACCCAAGGAAGAACAAGGCCCCAGGCCCAGGGCTCAGGTTTGCGACCTCCCTGCCTGGGGGACAGAACCCCCCGACCCCGACATGTTGCCCGGGCACAGTGGGTGTGCAGCAGGGCGGTTCCTCCCCGAGCCCCCGGGACACAGCGCAGGTGGGCGTGGGAGAGCCGCTGGGAGCTCTGAGCCCTCCTACCTCTTTCACGGCGTTCACCTTCTCCGGAGCCAGCTTAAATAATTCATCAAAGACGTCCTCTGCAGACAGATCCAATAAACACCTCATTACGATGCTATCATCTCTATGCCAAGCCGGGACTTTTTCTCCATAAAAGTTTCCCGAGTAACCAGTCCAGAGGGAGCTGTGGTTTTATCTCAAAGTTCTTGAATTAAGAAAGGGGCCTGGGTCTGAGTCACTAGACTCAACTACTATAAATACACCAAATGAAACATTCACTGCTCCCCTGGCTGTGTGGCGCCAGGGGAATCACCTCCCCTCTCTGTGCCTTGGTTTCCTCATCTGTAAAGTATTGGCTGATAATACCTACTAGGTGGGGTCGTTGCAAAGACCAAATTTGGGAGCAGATAACACATTTGGCACGGTGGCTGGGCACACAGTGAGACTTCGGTTAACGCTCGTCCTTTCTGCCGTGGACGCCTATCATTGTGTCTGCTGGGCCACCATCCCCTCCTCTGGGAACTTGCTCTGCCTCCTCCCAGGTCCCCGCTCCACCCACAGGAGCTGCCATAGGTGGCTGCGCAGGGGCCAGCGCTGGACTGACACTCGGCCCGCGGGTCTCCTCCGCAGCGTCCCTGGATTGGCAGAATGAGGGCAGCGAGCCCCCCCGGAGTGTCTGAGCTTACAGCGTGCAGAAGGCGGGCGCCATCAGCAGCTGCGTCATGCCCATGGGGTCTGCGAACAGAGAAGGCATCTAGCAGCTCAGGCTTCGGTCCAGCCTCAGACACCACGAGTCCTCAGGCTCCTGCCCTTTTCCCACAGGCTGCGTTTCTGCCATTTGCAGCTAACACGCCTGCCCTGGGGAGACTGGTCCTCAGGCACTGCATACCCAAACTGGGTATTAGAATCTATCTTTGGATTCTGCCACTCTGCAGCTGTGTGACTCTGAGCAAGTCACTGCACCTCTCTGTGCCTCGATTCCCTCATTAGTGAAGGGGGAAAGGTAGGGTCAGATAGCATCTTGTACGCTAAAATGCCCCAGAAACCAATAAACACAGAGGGAACCCCCAGTGGTCCCTTCCAGGCCTCTTGGCCTGTGATCAGGGAAATTGTGTCACTGAAGGAGCCAGGAAATGAGAGGCAAATGTGTACTCAGACGATGTAGGCCAGAACAGGATGAATGTGCTAGAAACGGTGTTGAGGAGGCCCTGCTCTGTGTCCCTGCCCCTCACTGTGTGACCCATCCTCATGCTGCCCCCTAACAAACACTGCTCCCTGGGCAACCCCACACGTCTTCACGCTGCCCCTCCACAAACGTACACAGACACCCAACCAGCCGCCCTTTCGCCTCCCCTCTCCCTCCTTCCCCCATTCAGCCTCCCTCAGCCCCTGTTCTCAGAAGCTCTTCACAGGTCATTATTTCCACCTCTGCAGATGAGGTGCCCCTCGTAGAAGCCCCTGCCCATACAGCTCTGTGGCCTAAGCGGGGAGGGTTTGGAGAGGAAAAATGTTAGGATGGATGGAGGCATGGATGGATGGATACACGAATAGATGGATGGATGGACAGATGGATGGATGGATGGATACACAGATGGATGGATGGATGGATACACGGATGGATGGATGGATGGATACACGGATGGATGGATGGTTGGATGGCTGGATGGATGATGGATAGACAGGTTGGTGGATGGATGGATGGACAGATGAGTGGATGGAAAGATGGGTAGATGGATGGATGGATGGGTTGGTGGATGGATGGATGGATGGATGGATGGATGGGTGGATGAACAGCTGGCTGGCCAACTGACTGAGGAATGAATGAATAAAAGAAGGAATGGCTGGATCAGCTGACTGGTGAAGAGCTCTGTCACAAAAGCAGCCACATTATTGAACAATCACTATTAAGCACTCCCCATGCTAAACATATATTCACAAATCATCTTTTTTTTTTTCTTTGTGAGGAAGACCAGCCCTGAGCTAACATCTGTTGCCAATCCTCCTCTTCCTTTTGCTGAGGAAGACTGGCCCTGCGCTAACATCCGTGCCCATCTTCCTCCACTTTATATGGGACACAGCCACAGCATGGCTTGACAAGTGGTGCGTGGGTCCACACCTGGGATCCGAATCTGCGAACCCTGAGCCATGGAAGTGGAGCGCGAGAACCTAACCACTGCGCCATTGGGCCAGCACCACAAATTATCTTTTAACCCTCACTACAGTCTAAGAGGTGGGTGCCATTATTGATCCCATTTCACAGATGAGGAAACTGAGGCACAGGCAGCTCAAGTGGCTAATGAGTGGGAGAATTTGTATCTGACCCGGGCCGCCTGGCTCCAGAGCCCACGCACTTAACAACTCCACCATCATCGCCAATGGGAATTATAAATCTCCGTCCCCGTGTGAGCGGTGTCATGAGAAGGAACAGCCAGATCTGTGGACGGACAGAGAGAAGGAGGGACACATGGACAAGACGAAGGCTGGAGACATGAACAGCAGACCACAGAGGAAATGCGAGAGAACCCCCAGCAATTAACCCTTCACCGTCACGCGTCTGTTTTAACATGTACACGACAGAAAAAGATTTCCTCACGTTATGCAAGTACTCACTCTGAGACTGGTCCTTGTCTGTGCTAAAGGGAAAATTGCAGGGGAAAGAAGAAAACAAACGGTTAAAAAAATCTTCAGATCTGTAGTTTCTTAATAGGACAGGACGCGGCCACAACAAGGTTGACAAAGAAACCAGCGTCTTTTCTCGCGGCAGCTTCGGAAGCAGGAGGGATCCCCGGGGAAAGCAACTGGAAAAAGGGGTTCAGACCTTTCCCTGGAGGCTTCCACACCCAGAAGTGGCTGGGTTTTGCTGTTTTGGGGGCTGCTGTGTTAGTTTAAGGGGGGGATGTTATACACACCGTAAAATGCACAGCCCTGAGTTGACAGCTTGTGCACGTTCACACGGACACACCCCCGTGTGACCACCACCCGGACAGGGCACAGGCCCCCCTCACCCCCAGGGTGCTCTCCCGCCCCACCGCACCCCCACAAACAGAACCCCTGCTTCGATGTCTCTCGCTATCCGTTAGTCTTGCTGTTCTAGAAATCCACATAAATGAAATCATACACTACTCTTTTCTGGCTGGCTTCTTTCACTCCGTTTTTATTGTTTTTGAAGGGTTTTTCTTTGACTTTGTTGTCTAGTTTTCTGCCCCAGCCCCGCCCCTAGAAGCAGGCCAGGCTGTCTCGGGAGAGGCGGGCGGCCCCTCCGACTGTGGCCCTCGCGGGGAGCTGGGCCGCGTGGGGTGGCGAGGGCAGCCTGAAACAGAGACCAGGGCTCCACACAAACAGACTGCCGGGAGGGACAGACGCCTCTGTGCTGCCCACGACACAAGCTGAGAGCCAGAGGGGAGCCCCCACAGAGGTTTCCCGTTCATAAAGGGGCTGGGAGGGGCGATTTTAGAGCCACAGAGAGGGAAGGAGCAGGGCTTCCCGAACACCATCCACGGCCTCCCCCTCAAGTTCCCAAAACTCATGCTCAGACCCTGAAGCTCCGTCGAGCAGGTTCAGAGCAGCTCAGCGGCTGGTGACAGGGAGGTGACCAGCCTCACTGAGTCAGAGGGGAACAAGGCTCCCTCCCAGGGCGTCCTTGGGAAGGTGAAAGGGCCAGCGTGTGCACAGGACCTGCTGGCATGAGGGACCAGCAAGGGTTGGCTTTCTCCCGCCTTTGCCACACTCAGCTCACACACTTGGGCCATGGCCACTATTGTCATCAGTTGCAGTACTTTGAGCCCCACCTCCCCAGGGAAATCGAGGAGCCATAGACTGGAAGGCCTCAGGATAGAGGGAGAGCAGGAGGAGATGGTCCCCCTCCCCACATCCTCTGTAACCCTCACAGCAGCCCCAACAGGTAGGAAGGAGTCTCCGGTTTTCAGAGGAGCAAAGAGGCTCAGAGAGGGAAGGTGACTTGCCCGAGGTCACACAGCTCACACAAGGCCGAGCCAGGATTTAAGCCCAGCTGGGGCTGACTGTCAAGTCTGTGAGCTGAAAAGAAGTGACCCCACCTAGCTGGGCTTCGTGAGGATTAAATGAGTCAAGGGAGCTAAAACATCCAGCCCAGTGCCCGGCGCATAGTAGGCCTCCAGTCAGTGCTAGACAACTTTCCTGCAAGTAGCCCACTCTCCGACCAACCCGGAGAGACCTGGCCAGGACTGCCCGGAGGCCTCCACCTCCAGGAGGGCAGAGGGAAGAGCTCCGGGCGCCCTGCTCACCCAGACAGACGAAAGGCCAACAGCTGGCTGACCTGGACACTCAAGTCCCCACCGTGCACACAGTAGGCACTCAATAAGTGTTGGTGGTAGGAGTGAGCACTTGGTGCCCTTGCCTCCTGGCACCAGGAGGCTCACGGGGCTCTGCTGTCCGCTTGTAAGGTGTAGACTACACTCAGCTGCAGCTCCTCCCCACCGTGGATGAGGGTAAGGCTGCCCAGGAGCACTCGGACGCCGGGCTTTAGGGAGCCAGCATGGCTTCGGGGTCCGAAGACCCCAATTTTGAGTGCCTCCTGTCCCCCAGCGGCTGTGGTGTGACCTCATGGCCGAGGGCCAGAGCCCCCTCTGACCCCAACTCTGCCTGTTTCTCTGGGTTGTGCAGGGGACCAAATGAGCTGGCAGAGGCGGGCACACCTGACAGTCCATAAGGGCACGCCCTGCAGGGACCCGCAAGACGGAAGGGCCCCCGCGTGCCACCGCAGGGCTGGGAGGACCTGCAGCGTGTAGGCTCCTCCCATGAAGGTCAGGCAGGGCTGTCCCCCCGCCCCAGGCCCACCGCCAATACCCGCAAAACCATAGCCGAGCCCTGCCTGGTCCCTGCTCCTTGCCCACCTGCACTCAGTGAGTTGTTCCACTGACTTCTCCGACTTCAGGCCACTCTTGGTGCTCTAAGAAAGAAAAAGGGCAAGGAATTGAGTAATCCTAGAAAACTTGGGGACCCACACCTGCCGCTAAAAGACTGTAGTGGCCAAAGCAGCCCCGAGGGACCCAGTTTACTCCACTTCATATCTTCCTCAGGGCGTCCTCCCTGGTGGCCTCATCACTGTGGTCCAGATTAATTGTCCTTCTTCCCCAGGAGCCTGGAGCCCCACAAGGCCAGGGACCATGCCTGCCTTATTCCCCAGGTATCCCCAGAGTCTCACCCAGTACCTAGCTCACAGGGGGCCAATGAATATGTGTTGATCTGAATAATGAATGAATGATGAATGGATGGACGGATGGGTGGGTGGATGGATGGATGGGTAGGCGAGTGGATGGATGGATGGATGGACAGATGGACGGATGGATGGATGGGTGGGTGGATGGGTGGATGGATGGATGAGTGGATAGGTGGATGGATCAATGGGTAGGTGAATGGATGGATGGATGGATGGATGGATGGATGGATGGATGGATGGATG